GACAGTTGAGAGTCCCTGCTCGAGCTTGAATAAACGACCCTCATGTGCTTGCATCAGAAACGGCTTCCTGGTGGTCTTTGGGACTTCACAATCTGGGCACAACATTGTGACCCCAATGAAATTCTCATTTCAACTCCTCTGTCAGCTTCCTCCCCTCCACCTCCTGACTATGACTTCTCTCAGACCATAGAGCCTTCCTTCCTAGGTCTGCCTCCCCTGGCCCCCACAACCTCAGCCTGTTCCTAACCCACCCCAACCTCAGTAGCCTCCCATTGTCCTTACCTCCCAACCCAAATTCTGTACCCCCTCCCATACCCAATCTGGTCTCCTTTTTGGCTCTGTTCCAGCCCCAACACACACCCCCTCCCCCACAAGCTGCAATGCTGAAGCTGCTCAGCTTCCTTCAGGACCTCCTACTGTAACTTCCTCTGCTCTGGCCCCTACTCTCTCCCCACTTATCTGACACTTCCAACCCTTCTCCTTATCTTAACAAGACCATTCCAATCCCTCCTCACACAAGGTCCTAACTGCAGTTTGACATTTCTTCCCTACCCCTGCTCCTCAGTTTCTGCTTTGGGAGGTAGCAGGGTGAAGGATATAGTCCAAGTTCATGCCCATTTTTCTCTGTCTGATCTTTCTCAGATTAATCAGTACTTGGATTCCTTCTTCACAGACCCCACTAAATATGTTCAAGAATTTTAATATCTCAATCTTATGACTTAACCTTACTTCTAGTGGATATATAAATGCCTTGCTTTTTTGTGTCTTGTCATTTTATTTATTTTCTTCATTCAGTCTGCTTTAATCTTATATGGTCTCACCTTCACATTTCCACCCTCAAATCCTATCTAACTAGATAAAACATCTCTGTTTTCAGGGCACTCTGTGCAACTTTTCTCCCCAAAACAAACCAATTGTTTTCTTTCCTTCTCACCCTCTTCCTGTTTCATAATCAATAAAGAGACCTTAAACACCTCCCTTCCTCCTCCGGACACCCTTTGACCCAGTTAACCTTCCTTTTTTTTCTCTCTCCAAGCCCTACTATAACACCTCAGCTGCTACCCCCTGCTGTTCCCAATTACCTTTACAAAACCTTACATTTAGCTCATTCCTTGCTGAACCAGCACAATCCATCTTTAGCCAAAGACTACTGCTCACTCTCCTCAAGCTTATTTGCTAGAATCCCTTCTGCTCTGGGCAGAATGTCTCCTTTCCCCACCCCCAAATTGACTCCCCAGATTTGAACTGGACTCACTGGAGACCCCATCCCCAGAATGACTCACTGAAGGTGCTCTACTACTGGCTAAAAAAACTGTCCTCTATGGGCCCCTTACCCATTCCCCCTCAGACAAAATATACCTACTTGTCTTTTTCCTCTTCCCCAGCCTCTCCACACCTCCCACCTAGACACCACTCCACTCACTCATGTACTGTCATTTCCTCTTCCTACTCACCCACATACTCCTGGCCCTCATATTTGCTGCTGACTGAGCTCCAGCAGCCACCCCCACCAAGCCACCAGCCTCAGAAAACAGGCAAAAGGTGGTCCTATCAATGGTTTAAAAAGTCTTTTCCATGGGGGCCGGGGATTTAGCTCAGTGGTTCCCTCACCTGCCTCACAACTGCAATGACCCAAGTTCAATCCCCAGTAACAAAAAAATAAAATGAAATAAGATAAAAAGTCTTTTCCAAGCAGGCTGGATGTCCTGGCTTCTCCCCATGTTAGGGCCTCTAGTCCCAATCTTTCTTCTATTATTGATTGGACCTTACATAATAAAGTTTTTGACAAATTTTATCCAGGAACAGATTCCAATCCATAACATCCAGACAACTCCTTTTGTCTGCCCACTACACCGTGATAGGTCTTCCACTACCTCAGCAGCTATTATGTATAGTAGCTGCCCTCTTCCTATGGTGCCTTGCCCCCTCCCCTGTGTGA